CTAGTCGGGGGGATCAGGAGGCATTGGGGGAGTCACTGTTCCCCCGAGCACAGCCAGGAGTGACCAGGAATAACGTTCACAAGCTGGCAGAGGGTAGGTTTAGGCTAGATATCAGGAGGCGCTACTTCATGGTCAGGGTGGCTAGGATCTGGAACCAACTTCCAAGGGAAGTGGTGCAGGCTCCTACCCTGGGGGTTTTTAAGAGGAGGTTAGATGAACACCTTGCTGGGGTCGTTTAACCCCAGTACTCTTTCCTGCCATGGCAGGGGGTCGGACTAGATGATCTGCTCAGGTCCCTTCCGACCCTAGAAACTATGAAACTATGAAACATCTTTACTTAGGTTTTGTGTACCTGTGAATCTGGCCCAAGATATGTTATGCCAACTAATGAGCAGAGAAAAGATATCAATATGTTTGAATTTTAATAATTCTGAGAAATTTGCAGAATGGGCTAAAATTATGTGACTGTCTTGTTAAAATGTATATAAAATTTAAACATTACTTGTTTTTTTCTAGTGAGGTGATGAAAATGAAAAAAAGATATGAAGTTGGCTTGGAGAAGTTGAATTCTGCTGCATCACAGGTGGCCTCAATGCAGTCTGAACTGGAAGCCCTGCAGCCTCAGCTAAGAGATGCTAGCAAACAAGTTGATGAGATGATGGTGGTTATTCAGAAGGAATCCTTGGAAGTAGCTAAAACTGAAAAAATAGTGAAAGCTGATGAAGCAGTGGCAAATGAACAGGCCATGGCTGCAAAAGCAATCAAAGATGAATGTGATGCTGATTTGGCACAAGCCTTGCCAATTCTAGAAAGTGCTTTAGCTGCTCTTGACACTCTGACCGCACAGGTAAAGCTAATAGGATGTATTTACGTTCTGGACAGTCGTTCAGTGAGCACTGTCAACTTTCAGAGAGATATTTACCATGTTTCATGGCTAATAATTATTAGATTTCACATTGCTACTGATTTTAAAGATACATGATTTAATAGCATTTTATATTTCTTAACAATTTTCAGTGTTAAAATCAAAATATTCTTTTATTTTCCTTCCCTGTTTAAAAGTTATAACATTGCTAATCATTGAGCTACTATACTAATGTTTTCATGGAGCATAAAGCCAGATATTTCTCTTTCCAGCTATTTTAAAATTCATAATCATAATATTTTGAATCAACAAATGACGTGTTAAAATAATTTGCTTCCTCAGCAAAACTGCATGCCGATTTGCCAGGTATTATCTACAGCCTCTGTTTAGATCGAACTGTTTTTCACATTTAGAAACTGAGACTGAGATTCTGTTCTGGACCTTTTAGAGACAGTGCAGAACTTGTAGCTCAGGAGGAGGGATGAGAACTAAGCTTTATGCCTTGTAACCCTGGGCTGATTCCCTCCTGTAACACAGACAATGTCATGGATAGTAGTCATTCTGTGGACCACAGCTTCTTGGACTTTTTGTAATGCTTCACTCTGTGGTCCTGTGCAAAACATACCCTCCTATATCAGAACTTGCAAAGGGATTTGCAGAGAGAAGGTTTCTGTAGTGCCTGAGGTAGGAGGATCCTTTATCTACTGTAATTGGGGATTTATTGTCCTTTTGTGTCACTCCTTTTGTCTTGCCTAAAGAGGCTGGTAGAGAGAGGTAGTTAGCCATGTTAGTCTGAAGTCAGGCAGAAGACAAGGGTAGATTTCCATTTTTTATAGACTAAATCAGAGATGTATAGCAGAGGGCTTACTTCATCAGATGCTGTGAAGGGACTGCAGGAAGACGAGACGCTTAATAGAAAGCAGTGATTGGAATACAAAGGGTTGGGAAGGTGTGGGGAGGATTCCTACAATTACAATGCAATCTTAAAACTGTAACTGCTGTCACAAACCTGTCCATGGGGGACCTTCAGAGCCTGGCATTCCTCCCCACTGTTCAGCCACTTGTCCCACAGAACAGACTCAACAGACTGAGGTTGTCCTGGGATAACTCCCTATCACTGCAAGCCAGTTCCACTTCCCATATACTGGACCCTGCAGCTGGGGTGAGGGAACCTCTGCCCGCCCCAGGTGGCTTCCACTTTGGGTTGTGAAAGAGCTTATAGGTCTCCATAGATGCAGCTCATGCTATACATCTATGATTTGGTTAGTATTTAAAGGTGCAAATCTACCCTGCCTTCTGCCTAAGGTGGCTGGTCAGAGATGAGGATCTTAATCTCCATGTCCATACAAAGGTGCAACAGAAGGCCATTCTGCTTTCTGATTCATTTGACTGAACATGGTTCTAAAGCCTTGGGCACGCATAACTTTGGTAGTGCTCCTGTGACAGGAGTGCCTCTTCTGGAGTCTGTCTATCGATGATCCCACCCTCCTGTTATGGGCCAACTGCCTGCCTTCTCGTCTGGCACACCTTGATCTTAATTAATGGGTGTTAATTAACAGGAGGCTGCCCATTATTGCCCCGGTGCCAGGGGGTGCTATCTGAGGCTCCTTTTCCTCCCCTACACCGCAGCCCAAGCCTTGCAGATGATACTGATGTGGTTTGATCTGGGCCTTGTTGTAATTTGGCCCTCCCCTTTTCCTCCCTGGGCTCTCCACAGTCCTGTCTGGCACTGCGCCTTCACTGGCGCTCGCCGTCCCCTCTCTCTGGGGCTGAGGTTCCCACACTGCTGTGGGTCCCCTATGAGGCCTCCTCCATCCCCTAATAGTCTCACCCAAACCACCAGTTAAAAAGCAAACACAAAACACAAGCCCCTGGGCTATAATAAAAATCCAAGCCACCCAGCTAAAACATCATTCAATCCCTACCAGGGAATACTCCATCCCATAACAGCATCAGGAGCTGCTCATGCAGTCATGCATTTCCCCTTTGCTTGCTCCAGCAGAGCTCCCTTCCCCCTTAGCTGCCCGCAGGGAACTGCCCTCCTGGCCTCAGGCCTGGGATTTATGTGGGAGCCAGGCCCTGCCCCCTCTGGTCAGCTGACCAGGTGCAGGTTCCCTCCTTAACCGGTTGTCCTGGCAACCGGCACCTGGGATCCTGCCTCTGCTCTGAGAGTAGCAGGCACCTTAGTGTCCTGCTACAGCTCCCTATGCCCTTACAGCATTACAAAAAGCTAGTGTACATGTGTTCAAGCGGTCTGTTCACTACAAAGATAATGGATCCACCACAAAAAGTTCCTGTTTGAAATCAGGAACTTCTCTGTCATACTACGGTATATTCTGCTTTCTGCTTGCAGCCCTGTGCTCTCTGTCTGATGTGCTGCTCTGCTTTCTGCTTCTTTCCCTGTATTCCCTGCCTAACCTGCTACTTTGCTCTCTGTCCCTACACTGTCTTCCACTGTGCCCCCTGGTCCCTCCCTGATCTGCCATGTGCCACACAGAGATTGCCTGTGCCAACTGTGGCACCTATGTCACAGGTTGGCCACCCCTACTTAACAAGGAACAAGCAAAGAAAATACTGAACTGGTCTCTTTCTATGCCTACCAATGAAAGATTTAAAATGCAAGTGTTAAAGAAATTGTTATAAGGTATATTTATACTATGTGTATGTTAATTCTGTGTTGTGATCTTGGAATCATATCTTAAGTGAACTTATCAGCTCTAAGAATAGGACAAACATATAGAAAAATAGTATTGTAACATAAACAAGATGATTGTTATACAGTATAAAATCCAGCCTAACCCTGATCAAAAATAGGTGAGAGGTATGCTTTTTATTTTAAGGATATCACAGTAGTGAAGTCCATGAAGAGTCCTCCTGCTGGCGTCAAGCTCGTTATGGAAACTATATGTATCCTGAAAGGCATAAAAGCAGATAAAATCCCAGATCCATCAGGCTCAGGGAAAAGAATAGAGGATTTCTGGGGTCCGGCTAAAAGACTTTTGGGTGACATAAGATTTCTACAGTCACTTCATGAATATGACAAGGATAACATTCCTCCAGCTTACATGGCTATAATTAGGAAACAATATATCACAAATCCTGAGTTTGTACCAGAGAAGATTCGAAATGCTTCCACAGCAGCTGAGGGCCTGTGCAAATGGGTCATAGCCATGGATTCATATGATAAGTAAGCATTTGTATTACAGTTAAATCCGAATGTATTTAGTATGTTCTAATATTAAGGGATTTTAAATTTGTTGGAAATTCTTCCTAGTTTGATAATACACTAGAAAAGTTTTTAAAGCAACTGTAGAAAAGGTCTTATTTTTAGATGCAGGTGCCTTCAATAGGGTGCAGAAGCAAAATTATATCACCAGAAGGTTAACTTTCATTTTGCCATCCTTTTACATATGTGCTTAGAGGAAAAGTTAATAGAATGCTGTTGGGGAAAGCTAAGACTCCAATAGCCATTTTCTGAGTGGAGTTGAATTTGACATTGGAAGACTATTTTAGTATTATATTTGTATTTACTTATGGTCACTGCCCCTTCTGAAAAAGATCATGCTGATTTTTTGCTGTCTTCTACCCTACCAATTTAAAGTACTATTTTAATATATCTAAAGACTGCCTTGAACTATCAAACCTCATATATACCTAAGGTCTGCTCATAATCAGAAGTTTAAGTAATGTTACAGGAAGATTTCTTTCTAAGTGTAATACATTTTAATATACTAGCACATACTATTGGATCTTCTTATATAATGAGCAACTTTGAACATTGTAGGCAGCTATAGAAAGTAATTTAGCTATATAAAGTAAACCAAGTCTTTACTCAGCTGAAGCAAACAGACTTTAATGGAGGTATGCTGCTTTTGACTAATTAATAAACTGGCACCCTGCTTGCAACACCCTAGTTGAAAATCACTGATCTAGAAATATAGACATCACTTTTTCATTTTTATTTTTCACACAGTTTTATAAGTAAGATACTTGTTTTCAGTAGGCTTCAAGAATTATCTCAAATTTCCTGTCAACAAAAATGAGTATACAAATATTTTAAAACTTCAAAACTGGCTTGTGCCTGGAAATATATCTTACTATGAAAAAGAAGGGTTTTTTCCTACTGTATTTGTACATATAAAATGTCTGTGAATGTAATTTTATAAATACAAAATGTTTAAAAAGTAAATGTTTAAAACTGTTTAAAAGATGTACATATGCTAGTCATCTCATATTTCAGAAGGCTATCCAGTAATATTTATACTGCTTTTTTAAACTTGCAGGAAGTATTGCAAAAAATTGTTTCAAGCCATTTGCTGTTTCAGCCATCAGGTTCAACAAAAATGGAAGCAAATAATGAAATATACATTGGTAGCCACTTGAAAATCTTATTCACTGACAATTAAAATGGAGTTGTTATCTGAAACACTGGCATTTTCTCTTATCTGGCTCACATTGGCTTTTAAATAGCAACCTAGTATAAGTGTATTTGTATATGCATAGTAATAGAAAGATGTGTATAACTTGTATATTTGCTTAATTTTAATTTATGCATTTATTTTAGAGTGGCAAAAATTGTTGCCCCCAAAAAGATAAAGCTGAATCAGGCTGAAGGGGAATTGAAGATTGCCATGGATGGTCTTAGAAAGAAACAAGCAGCCCTAAAGGAAGTTCAGGACAAATTGGCTCTTCTTCAACGGGCACTAGAATCCAAGAAGCAGGAGAAGGCTGATCTGGAAAATCAGGCATGTAATATACAGAGAGAAAACTGTTACTAATGCTGATATTTAAAAAGAAATCTTGCTCAAAATATAGTTTTTTATCCAATGGAATTTGTGTTTTAACTTCCAAGCTGGCTAAATATTGAAGAAAGCCATCCCTACATCCCTCTCCTACTTCCCCCCTTTTAGGCTAGCATCATCGCTGTTCACTCTAAATGACAGTGTGGGCATATCATAAAAATAAGTATGTGACAAGTGAATCATAAATGGAATACATCATCATATTCTCCCTGTTGATATCGTTTTCCCATACCCCCATCTTATCATAGAACCATAGAGAACTAGGGCTGGAAGGGACCTCCAGAGAGCATCTAGTCTAACCCCATACCTGAGGTAGGACTATCCCTAACCAAACCGTTTCATCCAAACCATAATCTAAACTCATCATACGACTGCCCTCAACCCTGACACAACATGGACTGATCCCCTAACCTGCCACAGGTTAGGGTGTGCTGCTTGTCCTGCTAGCTAATGTCCTGCTAATGTCCTGCTTCTATGAAATGCAGTATATGCAGTATATGAGCAGTATATGCTCACGAGATCCCAGGTAGAGGGCCACGGTCTCCACTACATAGGAAGGCAAAGACTCTGACAGTTCATATCAGACTGACCATGAAGTAAAATTCCTTCCTGACCCCAAGTATGGTGATTGCTTTGACCCTAAGCATGGGGCAAGATGACCCAAAGTAGAGGGTAAGACCCTCTATCTGGGAACCTCTGGCTTTGGTCCCAGCAGGAGCATTGGCATACCCCAGTCAAGATCGGTATCCAATATCCAGTGTCTCTAAAGAAGGCTTAAAAACACCTTGACAAGTGCAGCAGAAAATGGTGGTGCTATAAAGCGATTACTACACTCCCATCACTTCAGATATTATGTTGAAGCAAATTGCCAAAGCAGTAGTGGAAATTTGTCATTTGATAATTTAATCCCTGACAATAAACCATAGTAGCCAGTTCTACTATGGGTATTTTTCCATGCTTCTGAGCTTTGTTGGTTGCTCCTGCCCCGACCCCCTGGGCAGGGGTATGCAGGCAGTGGATTGCAGCTTTGCCCTGACTCCAGACCATGCTGTCACCACTGCAAAATCCCTGGCGTGGCCCCGGAGTAGCTACCTGCCCAGCTGTATGCCCTGCCAGCACTGCTCAAGCCAGTTTTCATGGTCCATGGGTTGCATCAGGGCTGTGCAGGTAGGTCATCTGGCTCTCAGGCCTTCTCATAGGCTGGTCCAGCCTCCTCCATGAGCTGAATTTTGCCTGTGGGGCTTATCACCACAGCTGCCAGAGCCTCTGTAACACCTGTTGGAGCTCCTGTTTCAGAGTGACTCTGTAACCAAGGAAGTTAATGCTGTTTATTGCTACTTGTGGGTTGTCAGGCTGGTGAGAAAACCCACAGTCTAGATTTAGACCGTAGGAAATGCCATGGTCCAGATTCAGCCCATGAAGCCAAATTTGAAACCCTGGTCTAGAATATTAGACAAAAAAAGCACTAGCTCCTAAACTTTACCTATTTTTTGTAGCTGTTCAGAGGACAAAATTTGATTAAAAAAATGATTG